CGACGGCGTCGGCGGCGCGCGGTGTGTGGGTCCGTACTGCGTACTGTTCGCCCACACAAAGTACACGGTGCTGCGCCCACAATCGATGCGCGCATTCATTCGATCGCGATCGCCGCCCGCCACACGTCGACGCGACGACGCGATCGACGCGACGACGGGCGATGATGAAGACGGATTTTACCCCGATCGCGCGCGCGGAGACGGACGTCGCGACGCCCGCGCTCGGGGATGAACGCGCGCGCGCGAGGGCGAGCACGCCGAGCACGCCGGGAATCGACCTCGCGCGCGCATCGCCCGCGACGGCGCGCGCGAACGACGACGGGGCGCGCGGAGGGAAACGCGCGCGCGTGGATGCGTTTTGTGACGTCGGGATGGCGCGCGACGGGGGGGTGACGCGATCGGATGCGGCGAACGACGCGCGGGATGAATCTGGATGGATTTTAAACAATCGGAAATGGCGGGAAAGTTTGCAGCGGCGAGTACCGAGAGGGATTCGATGGATGTTCGGTGGGAACGAGTCGGTGGACGCGGCGTGTGCGGAGGATGAATATCGACGGAGGATTCGGGCGCTGCGGAACGAGCTCAGGGGGGAGCGGGAGCTGGTGCTGGAGACGACGCGGGAGTTGGAGTTGGTTAAGGCGAGGGCGGCGGACGCTAAAGTTCGGAGCGAGCGGGAGCGGGCGAAGAGCGTCGAAGTCGTTCGAGATCTGGAGCGGGAGTTGGAAAATGCGAGGGCGGAAGCGTGTGCGGCGAAGGAGACGGTGCAGACGTCTCGCGAGGCGCAAATGGAAGAGTTGTTGGAGACGACACGCGAGCGTTTGGCGTTAGAGACCACGGTGCGCGAGGCGGCGGAAAAGGCGCTCGCGACGGTGCAGAGGGAATTTGATGAGATGGCGACGCCGGCTGAACGCATGAAGGGTCTTCTGGATGAGGCGATGGAATCCATGACGGCCATGAAGGCGGAAGTGGAAGAACTTAAGCGTCAACGCGCAGAGGCCCTGGACGAAGCCACGGCGATGAAACTCGCGGTGACGCAAACGCGGAAGGAAAACTCGATTTCGATCGCGACGCTGGAGAAAAAGATTCTCGAACTCGAACGGCGATCGGAGAACGCGAAGGAGATGCCGTCGTTGTCGACTAAGGAGAATCAGTCACCGCGGAGCGCGACGATCGAAGCCGTGAATGCGTTCATCTTTGAGTACTTTGCGTCAAAGAGGTGCGACAGTGTCGGCCTGGATGAACTCATCGGCGCAAAACCAAAATCCATGAAAATCGAAGACGTCCTCGGCGGGCTCGCCGAGCGATGTATCGATCGACCGGGTCGATCGGCGAGTCACATGGTCGTCGTCCACCAAATCTAATGGGATTGCGACGAGCGAAAATCTCTGTAATTTTTACAAACAACTCTAAGGCACTGACGCCAGGGCGTCTGCGAAGAGTCGCTGAAACGCGACGAAATTCGAACCACGTCCATCACACTTGATCGTAAACGTTGAGCCTCTAGCGCGTGCGTCAACCATCGCCTCCACGAGGAAGATGTCGCGAACACTCGCGTCGACAGCGTAAAAGAAAAACTTCATCGCGTCCGGTGGACCGCCGCTCGCCATGGTCGCGATACCCTTTGACGTTAGATGTGCGGTTATTTGCGTCGCGCCAGACACGGAGACGGATCGAAGCGTCGCCTGGAGCCCAGAGGCAACGAGAGACGCCGACGTCCATTTGGACTGGAAGCTTGCCGGATCGAGCGCAGGCGCTGGATCGAGCGCAAGCGTCGACGTCGTGGACGCCTGCGGCGGTACATCGATCTCCAAGAGCGAGAGCAAATCCGCCGCCGATCCACTTCGCGAAGTGGGAGTGCTTGCCTTTTCTTCGTCGCCAAAATCAATCATGTCCGCATGATCGAGCAAAGACGCCCCACCCATGTCCTGTTGCTCCTTCTCTTCCTCGTCGCGCTTCACGTCGTCGATTTCGTCTTCATCCTGAATTGTGCGCGCTCGTCGACGAGCTGCTGCCTCAGGATCGATGAACGTCTCAGCGGGTCGTCCGTAAAGCACGGAGAGCGTATTGAACTCGGCGAAGACTTTGTCGAACACCTTGTCCTCGGCCATGGTTTCCTTGAAGGTATAAATCGGCGAGTCATCGCGCGAATTCACCACACGTTCGGCCGCGCATACATCTTTTTGCAGGAGACGATAGTACGTGTTCGCCAAGTCGCGGACCTCTTGGTTAGCGTCGCGCACGCAGGCGGCCAATGCAGCACCGAGCATGGCTTGCGTCTCTGGCGGTCGCTTGAAGAAAAGCTTCATCGCGCACGTCAAGAGCTGCGCTCGAACTTTTGGATCCGATTCATTTACCATGTTCGTCAGCACAGGCTCGACGAAATACGGCGCCATGGGAATGTGCTCACCGTACTCTCCATAAAACCAAATCAACGTCGCGCGCGCACTCGGCTCTTGGACGTCGTACAGATCGATGTTTTTCATCGCTTCCACGCACTGAGTCGCGTGCGCCGGCCGCTTTCGCACGATGTCTGCCACCGCAAGCACGGTCTCGGCGGTGACGTGTTCGATATCCAAGTCAAAGTACTGCAGCAAGCGATCGACGATGCCCTCCAACTCATCCGCAGCCTTAAGCGCTATGTCGCCCACGGCGCGAACCGACGCCGCGGCGATGCACTCGTCCGTATCAGTCGCGTACTCCGTGATCTCGGTGACGATATCGTACGTGTTCTGTGCGTCCGCCACGGCGACGAGCATGGCGAGCTTCAAATTCTTCACCGCACTCGAATCGCTCATGCGAAAGTAAAAGCTCTTGTAATCTGTTGCGAAGAGCACGGGCGCGCGCCTGACGAGCAATCGAAGGTGCGCCCAAACCGCGTACGACGTTTCGGCCATCCCGCTGTTCGCAAGCGTGAACAGCGGGGCCTTGATGCGCTCGAGCACTTGTTGGTGAATGTCTGGCATCTCCAAAGTCGCAGTGAGGAACACCTTAACCGTTCCCAAAACGATTGCGGAATTCGGCACCGCGAGCCTAGATTCCAGGGCGTTCATGATGTCAAACGTCTCATCCGCGTTCTCAATCTTATACCTCGCGACTAGATCTAGGATCAACACCTGATTCCACTCGCTGAACGACTTGATTCTATTTATGAGCGCGTACACGATTGGCTTGGTCGCCAGCGACTCCGCGCCGTCAATCTCTTTCAACACAATCAAACAGTTCCCAACCACCACCTCCTCCGTATCGCTCACTAACATCTTCCGTAGCTTTTCCAATATCTCACTCTCTCGAACCGTCTTCGCATCGACGTCGTAAATCTTCAACGCGCCCATCGCCGCCGTCGCCCGCGGGTACGCCTCGTCGTCGTCCAATCCTCGCTCGACCGCCGTCACGCTGTACTCCAATAAATCCTTAACACCTAAACTCGCCAACGACCGTATCGCCAATCCCCTGATCGTCGAATCTCGATCACCGCTGTCTTTCTGTAACGCGTTGACTGTTAAAATCGCCAACTCGCCGTTCCGTCGCGCGTGTCGCGTGATGAACCCGTAAATCATCTTCTTACACCCCGGATCGCTCGCGTGCGCGTTCACCACCACATCCGGGAACAACGACGCGCAATCAACGCCGCTCGTGACCAACGCGTTCACTCTGCGGAACAGCGCGCGCCGATCGGCGTTCGCGCGCGAATCGTTCGATGGACGTGCGCTGAGCGAACGAAGCGCTCTCGAGAGCTCCGTCACCTCATCCCTTCCGTTCTGCGTCGCGCGACGCGCGTCCGACGCGGCCGCGGTCGATGGCATCGTCCTCGCGCGCGTTTTCGTGCGCCGAGCGTCGGGCGTCGGCGTCTGCGGGGAGGATTTGAAGGGAATAATGGCTGTAACGGAGTTTGATGACGACATCAATCGTCGACGCGTCGCGTCTTCGATGCTCGCGCGGGCGCTCAGGCGCGGTGCGTCGTCGAACAATACGTGTCTTCGCCTCTCCGAGCGCTCTGTGAGGTGGATATCGACGTCGAGCGATGATGAGACGCGAACGAACGCGTGGAATCCGGATTCACAAAAATCAGTAAGTCCACCGCCGACGCCGCACGCGCGACGATGGAGCGTCTCCGTGCACGACGACGGTGGCGTCGGACTGGGCGTCGCGATGGACTACGACGATCGCGGCGACGCGTTCGATCGTGGGCGGAATCGAAGGAATTCAACACTCGGAGCGTCGGCGCGGGACGAGTACGAGGAATACGTCGAGTCGTTGACGCCGAGACAAGCGTCGGTGGTGCACGCGCCGGGGGTTTTGGACAAAGCCACGGGGCGGTACAGGATTGAGGTGACGACGGGAACGAACCGAGGTGCGGGGACGAACGGTAGGGTGGAGCTCACGTTGGTCGGCGCGGACGGTTTGACGTATCCGGTGGCGCTGCAGTACGATAAAGGTATCGATCCGCAATTCTCGCGCGCGTCGTGTCTGCCGTTCCGGTTCGCCGTGAGCGCGCGGCTAGGGGAGTTGCGACGCACGAGAGTGCGACTCGTACCGGAGTTGACGGCGGTGGGAAGGGGGTGGTATTTGGATGATATCCGCGTCACGTGCGAGAACACCGGAGACGAGTGGGTGTTTCCGTGTCATCGGTGGTTCGGACAGAGCGATTCGGGGGATGGGCAGTCGGGGCCGTACACGCAGGATCTCGACGCAAAGTCCGCGGATGAGCTTCGACGCGCTTTCGGGGCGGAAGGGGAGATGCCGAGGAAGGAGCGCGGGGAGTTTGAGTGCGTCGCGTCCGGCGCCGCGGTGCCGCATCCGGAGAAGACCAAGCGCGACGGCGCGCGCGCGGTGGTCAGGAGGACGCACGGGCACGGTGGGGAGGACGCATATTTCATCGCGCGCGCGCCGGGACACAATAACGTGGGCATGGGGATCGCGGACGGGGTCTATCTGTGGCGATGGCAGGGTATCGACGCGGGCGAGTACTCTCGGGCGCTCATGACGCACGCCGCCGAGGCGCTGATCTCGGGCGCGATCGTTCGTCCGACGGCGATGATGGCGCATGCTTACGATGAGGTTAACAATGCAGGGATGAAAGGGAGCACTACGGCGTGCATCGTGGTCATCGATAAGGAACACGGGTTGATGTACTGCTCCAACGTCGGCGACAGCGGTTTCATGCTCATCCGAGGTGAGCCAGGCGGACGCTATGTCGCCCATCGCAGTCCGCCGCAGGAGCACAATTTCGGATGCCCGTTTCAGCTCGGACATCACGAGACGAGCGACAAGGCATCAGACGCGATGCGCACCAAGCTCTATCTCGAGCCGGGCGACATCGTCGTCCTCGGTTCGGACGGGTTGTGGGACAATCTGAGCGAGGTGGAGGTACTCGCGAGCGTCGAGGCGTCCGTCGCGGACGAGGCGAAAGTGGATCAAAAGGCCATTGACATCGCGACGCGAAATTTACTCGCACGCGCGTACGACGTGAGTATGGATAGGTCGCGCGTGACGCCGTACTCGCTCGCCGCGACCGAACATTTTGACATGGTGTACAGCGGTGGGAAGAAGGACGACATTTCCGTCGTCGTATGCCACGCCTCGTTGAAGAGCGGGTTCTGAGTTCTATAGTGCAATGTATAACACGCGACCGCTAATTCACGTCGACAACGCTCAGGTTCGTCTCTGCGCGCCAAACTTCTCCCGGTTGCAATACGACCGGCTTCCCCACCGCCGCGCTCTCGACACAGCAAAAGTTTTTGTAATATTCCTTCATGTTGTGGTGCGGATTCCAAATCACCGTGTCCGTCCAACCCGCGGTGTTCTCCACCGCCACCGCGGCGCCGCTCCCAACGTGCAGCAATGTTTCCGGTTCGGTGTCCAAATACACGCGATCGACGAGCTCTAAACCGAAGAAGACATCCCGTCCGTCCTGCGTCTTCCTCGGCGGATTGTTCGCGTCGATCGCCTTGTCCAGATACGTCTTCCCTTTTAAACCTCGCGCGAACACCCCGGCGTTCGCACAATCCGTCACCTCGATGTACGTGTGCACCGCCGCCGTGAAATCAAACGCTTTTCCTCCCTCCTCCGCGCAATTCTTGACGCAAAACTCGAGCTTTAACAATTCCCGTCTCAGCGTCACCTCGTACGTCGCCTCAAACGGTTCGTCCCACATCGCCTTCGTGTACGCGTTCGGCCTCAATCTCAGCATCACCGCCGGTTCGGGATCGTCCGGATTCACATCCGCGCTCGTTCCAATCACCTCCCAATCCACATTTCGCGCGAATCCGTGCTGTTGCATCGGTCCCGGGCCGAACTGCGGAAAACACAACGGCGCGCCGCCCGCCAGCGGCTTCGTCTTATCCCACACACAATCTGGTCTCACATACAGCGCGTCGTCCCCCGTCGGCTGCGTCCAGGACGTCACGCACGCCCCAAACAGATACACCTCCGCCGTCCGTCCGTTCTTGTGCGTTAACGCGCAGCGCGGGAGCCCGCCGCGGCCGTTTGAGAAGGACACCGAGCCCGGAATTCCAAATTTCTGATTCAATCGCTCCGTCTCGCTCTCCGGCGCCGGACCGACGCGCGATGCGGACGCACCGATGCGTCGACGTCCCACGCGTCGTTGCGCGCGGTGTGCCGAGGCGAGACGCGCGAGGGGCGACGGGGCGGTCACGCGAGTTTCGATGGAAAACATCATGTCGCGCGCCGGACTCTGCGGCGCGCGCGCGTCGATCGCGACCGCGCACGCGATCGCGCGCGCGGTGCACGCGCGGACGATGGCGCCGACGACCGCGCTCGAGCGCCTGGGCGAGGTGAAGCGTCCGGAGAGGGACGCGAAGGCGTATCGGAGGATTCGATTGAAGAATGGCATCGAGGCGCTGTTGATCTCCGACGCCACGCTCTGCGGCGTCGACGACGAGAACGCGAGCGAGGGTGAGGCCTCGGAGGGATCGGTGATGAGTGAAGACGGTGAAGGGAGCGACGCGGGGGAGGAAGAGAGTGCGGGGGGGGGGATGAAGCTCGCGGCGTGCTCCGTCGCGTTCGACGTCGGATACTTTGCGGACTCGGTGGAGTGCGAGGGCTTGTCGCACTTCCTGGAGCACATGGTTTTCATGGGGAGCGAGGCGTTCCCTGGGGAGAATTACTTTGGGGAGTGGTTGAACGAGCACTGGGGGAGCGATAACGCGATGACGGATTCGGAGAACACCGTGTTCTATTTCGAGTGCAACCCGACGAATTTAAGAGAAGCCTTGGATATATTCAGTGGGTTTTTCCTGAGTCCGTTGATAAAGCTCGATAGCGTCGATCGCGAGGTCACGGCGGTGGAGAGCGAGTTCGAGCGTGTGGTGAATAACGACTCGGTTCGTTTCGAGTTGTTGCTCTCGAGCTTGGCTCGCGACGGTCATCCGTTCGGGAAGTTTGGGTGGGGTAATCGCGCGTCTTTGACACAGAGCGCACCGTACAAAGAGGGTCGGCTTCGCGACGTGTTACTCGAGCACTGGAGAAGGCATTATCACGCCAAGCGCATGTCGATTGCGATCGTCGGCGCCGAAGACCTCGATACGTTGGAGAGTTGGATGGTTGATATTTTTGGCAAGATGAGAGCAGACGGAGACGACGCGATCGATTTAGAGAAGACGCAGCCGTCGCCGTACGCGGACGTCGTGCCGATACGAGTGCTGACGACGCAGGTCAAGGATGGGCAGACGGTGTCGATCACGCACGAGTTACCCGCGTGGACGCAAAAGAACTACAAGTTCAAATCGGCGGCGTACATCGAGACCTTGCTCGGGCACGAGGGCCACGGATCGCTCTTCGCTGAGTTGAAACGTCGAGGGTGGGCGAGCGACCTGCGCGCGGGCGTCGGTGCAGGTGGCATCGACTCATGCAGCGCTGGCGCTCTCTTTGGCACGTCGATTAGTCTCACCGATGAGGGATTGGAGCGCGTCGATGACGTCATCGAACTGTTCTTCGCCTACATCAACATGTTACGCACTGTGGGACCGCAAGAGTGGTTTTGGAACGAAATCAAGCGTTTGTCCGAGATCGATTTCCGATTCCGCGAGCCCGAAGACGCGGCAGAGTACACTGAACGCCTCGTGGCGGACATTCGCAAGTTCGCACCCGAGGACGTCTTGTGTGGGCCCGACGTGTATGAGGCATATAAACCGGATGAAATCCGTGAAATCATCGATTTGATGACACCGCAGAGAGCCATCGTCGTCGTTCAAAGACACGAGTGGACCGGCGAGGGTGAGGGCGTCGAGTTTGAGCAGTGGATTAACTTTCCATTCAAGAAGGAGACGATCACGCCGTCTGTGTTGGAAAGCTGGACGAAGGCGGATGCCGGCGATCGCCTGCACTATCCAGCACCAAATCCTTACATTGCAAGTGATTTCCGCATTCGGACTTCGCTGGGTGATCACGGCGACGCGTTATTTTCGCCAAGCATTGTTCACGAGTGCGATGTCATGCGTATTTGGCATCGACTTGACGATCGATTCCTCCAGCCTCGCTCGTGCCTGTACTTCCAGGTGACGCTTCCGAACATTCCAGACGGTGCGTTTGGAATGATGTTGGTGCAGCTCTTCGTCGCCATGTGCGAAGACAGTGTGAATGAATCCATCTATTATCCGGCGCATCTCGCTGGAATGGAGGTTGAAATATGCGCCTCGGCATCCTACTCAGGATTTATTCTAACTCTTGAAGGTTTGAGCGACAAACTCGGTGAGTTGGCGATTTCATACTTCAAGACGCTCACATCGCTGAAAATCGATCCGGAGAGATTTGAAAAACGTAAGGAGGAACGCCTGAGAGACATTCACAATTTGTGCCTGAATCCGGCGAGGCATGCGACGCGCTCGCTCGAAGTCTTGCTCAAAAACAAAGATGCGACGCAAGACGACAAGGCGCGCGCGCTTCAAGCGATGACCGCCAATGACTTGCAAGCATTCGTTGATGCTATCTGGGAGCAAGCGCACGTGGAGTCGTTGATGATTGGAAACGTAACAAAGGAAGAGGCCTGTTCCATCGGTGCGGTTGTTCGCGAATGTCTACCGGGCGCTCCGATCGCGGAAAACGCTTGGCCAGAGATGCGCATGGCGACCGTTCCTACGGGGACACACTTGTTCAGCGTTAAGGCTATTAACGACGACGAGACGAACAGCGTGGTCTGTTTCCATTTCCAAATCGGCGAGAGCACGTGGCGCGGGCGTGCTTTTGTTATTTTGATGCAGTCGCTGATGCACGAGAAGCTCTTCGATCAACTTAGAACGAAGGAGACGCTCGGCTACAGCGTGAGCTGCTCATTCGAGTCGGTACACGAGATATTGGGCTATCGCGTCATGGTGGAATCTGCCTTCCACCCGCCGAGCTTCGTGTCGAGCCGCATAGCCGCCTTCTTGAGATCTTTCCCCGAAATATTGCAAGGGTTGGATGACGCGTCATACGAGAAGACTCGTCAGAGCGTGGTCGATGATATCTTGGCGGAAGACGTTAACTTACGCGACGAGGCGCTCCGCCACTGGGCGCACATCGTCAATCAAAAGTATCAATTTCATCGAGGTCGCCACGTCGCGCAAATTGTCAGCGAAATCACCAAGCAAGAAGCCGCTGACTGGTGCCGACAATACATTATTCCGTGTTTTGGAGTCGTTTCGAATTCCGCCGACATGGACTCTCCCGCTTCGGCGCCGCATACGCGACATGTGATGATTCACGTGCACGCAAAGAACCATCCCATCCCTGAAGACTCCGGATTGTTGAGTGAAATCGGATCACAACACGTCTCGAGCATACCGCCGACTGTCAAGGGCATGGGGGACGCGTATTTTGGAGTATCCGCGGAGTTCAAGAAGAAGTGGTCGTTGTATCCGCAGCAAGGTTGCGCGACCGTCGTCGACGAGCTCATTATGCCAGAGCTGTCCAGTGTAAACCGATCCGTCGTGCGAGCCGGTAAGCGTTTGGATTTAGACACGGACGCACTGCAAGACAAAACCCCGAGTTTGCGGAGTCAGTGGGCGTCGGATTTACAGCAAATGCGCGGCGAGTGTGGCGCATCCTGCGCATGTCGTCGTACCAAGAAGCCCGTCTTGCCGTTCGTACTACCCAGTAAGTAATCTGCAGTCCAAGTGGAGTAATACCGTAGTGAATTTTTTCTTCAAAGAGTCTTTCGTTGGAATGAATTAAAAATAGTGCTATAGCGTGTACAGTTTTCTCAGTGTTAGATTTGACCATTCGAAAGTTCGTTTGTTCTCAATTCCAGCGCCCAGCGTTTTTGTTTTTCTTCGCCTCGCCGCTTCCTGACGAGAATGCTTTCGCCTTTTCCTTCTTCAGTTTAGCTTTCTCCGCCTTGCTCATCTTAGACTTGGAGACGGTTTGGTCTTGCTCAATCTTTTTCTTCTTTGATTCGAGCGCGGCATCTCGCGCGCTTGCCACGTCGTTCTTCGATAAGAAGTATGCGTAATCCCCGGCGTAATCTGTGATAGCGCCTTCATCAAACGCCAAAACGCGCGTGGCGATTTGTCGCAAGAAGTAACGGTCGTGAGAGATCGCGATCACGGTGCCGTCGAATTGACGGATGGCGTTTTCGAGCATCTCTTTGCTCGGAATGTCCAGGTGGTTCGTCGGTTCGTCGAGCAAAAGCACATTGGCGGGTGTGACCATGAACTTTGCCAGAGCCAATCGCGCCTTTTCGCCACCAGACAAAAACTTGACGGGCTTTTCGTGGAAAGGCGTGCTGAATGCCATTTGACCGAGAAGCGCCTTCAGATCGTTCAATTGTGCGTCCGGCGCGGCGTCGATGAGGGTCTGTAACACGCCCTTGTTCGTGTCCAGGCCCTCGGCTTGGTTTTGATAGAAGTAGTTCACCTTGCACATGTCGGTGTCTCCAAGTTCGGCGATGCCCGAGAGCGGCCTCTCGCGTCCTTGGATCAGTCGCATGAGGGTTGATTTACCGCACCCGTTATCGCCGATCATGGCGACTCGTTCACCGCGCTCGATTTGAAGTGACGTGTTCTTGAATAGTGTCTTCTCATCGTATCCATGTGTGACATTTTCCACGCGCGCGACGATTTGAGCGCTTCTAGAGCAATTTGGAAAGAAGAAACGACGCTTCTTCGCGATCCACGGCTTATCGACCGCATCTTCAAGAAGCTTGTCGAGCGTCTTTTGAGCCGCTGTCGCGCGGCCGGATTGTCCGCCGCCCGCCAGACGCGAAATCATGTCCCGCTGACGCGACACTTCCTTCTGCCACTTCTCATACGCCACCATTTGTTGAGCGGCTCTGCTTTCTTTCTCGGAGCAGTACTGGGAGTAGTTGCCCTTGTACGTCGTCGCCACACCACGCTCAATCTCGACGGTCTTAGTACAGAGCTGGTCCAGGAACTCTCGATCGTGTGAGACGATGACCATGGGCACGTCAAGCGATCTCAGATACGTCTCGAGCCACTGGATGGTATCCAAGTCGAGATGGTTCGTAGGTTCGTCAAACAGCAGCAGACCCGGCTCTTGAAGTAGAATTTTACCCAGAGAAATGCGCATCTGCCAACCGCCGCTGAAAGAGGCCACGAGACGGTCGTTGTCTTCCTGAACGAAACCGAGCTCGGGCATGATTTTATCAATTGCGCGCTCCATCTTGAACAAGTCCATGCGATCAGCTTGACGCTGCAAGTCCGCGAGTTTGTCGACGAGAATCTGCACCAAGTCCATGCTTGGATTATTCTCGAGTTCTTTATTGATGCGTTCGATGTCGCTCGTGATCTTCATCTCGTCCCCAAAGCTCGCCATGAATTCTTCACGAACCGTGTTCGACTCCTTCACTTCAAACTCTTGCGTTAGGTAGCCAATCTTCACCCCGTCCGCGAGCATGATCTCGCCCTCGTCGGCTTCCATCTCACCAGTGATGATACGCAATTGCGTCGTCTTACCTGCACCGTTCCAGCCGACCAATCCGACGCGCTCGCCCTTCCTGCAGTCCCACGAAACGCCGTCGAGGATTGGCATGTTCTTAAACGTCTTGCGCACGTTCTCCAAGCGTACTCCAGTGGTGACCGTACCCGACGAACGCTTCGCTGACGGCTTTGCATCGTTGATGAAAATATCTCGAAGGTACTTTGGAATCGGATTACCGTCGTCTTCCTCCACCTCATCCGGTTCGCTCCAATCAATGGTGGGACCGATGTACTCGCCGTCCTCATCAAACACGGGCGCGGATTCCTCCGATTTCTCCTCGGCAACCTCATCGACCACCGCGGAGGCTTGGGCGGCAACGACTTCGGGCTCGGACACGGGCTTGAGCTCGGGTTCTGGCGCGGGTTCTGGCGCGGGCTCAGGCTCGGGCGTCCCAGCCGCAACCACGGGCTCGGGTTCTGCTTCGGGCACAGGCTCCGGCTCGGGTTCGGGCGCGACCTCCTCGGCCACAACCGCGGGCTCCGATCTCGGCTCCGGCGGAGGCACGAACGCCGGCTTCGGCTTCCTCTTGCTCGTCGTCGGTTTCACGAACTCCTCTGTCGGTTTCACGAACTCCTCCGTCGCCCAATCGGGCTCCGCCGCCGCCGCCGCCGGGTCCGCCGACGACGACGACGCCGGGTCCGCCTCAACCGCCGACGACGACGCCGCCCTTCCCTTTTTATTCTTCATCCTACTCGCCGGGACGAAATCATCGTTCTCCCAATCCAGAGCCTCCTTCGCCGGCGCCGGCGCCGCCGACGCCGCCGGCGCCGCCTTGGGCGCCTTCTGCGGCTTCGCCTTTGGAACCTTTTTATTCTTCTTCTGCTTCCCCGCCGGGACGAAATCGTCGTTCTCCCAATCCAGAGCCTCTCCCGCGCGCGCTCGAACGCTCGCGCGCGCGTCGTCGACCACGCGCGCGCCGTCGACGACGCCGAGGCGTCCCGAGGGTTGGCGCTCGACCCTTGGCTGTGCATTCTTTCCGCGCGTCGCGCGCGCACGACGCGATGGAGCGGTCATCGGGGCGAGAACACACCGCATGGACGTCGACGACATCGCGCGCGCGCGTTTTCGTGCGCGTCGGCGACGCGCGTGCGTCGAGGGGTGCGGATTCGTGACGCACTATCCATGGTTTATGGCACTTTTTGACATTGTAAATCGTCACAGAGCGACATGTCGAGCGGTGAACCGCCCCCGGGTGTGCTTTACTTTGAGCGGCACTTTAACGATGCGTTCATGGACGCGATCGACGCGCTCAGGACGGAGATTCCGGTGAGCTTAGCGTCCGGAAACATGCGCGCGAATAGGCGGTTTCTGAGAGATGCAACCCTGGCGAAGAACATTTGTGAGCGGTTACCATCGGAAGCGAACGTGTTGAGCGTGTGTTCGGACATTCGATTCATCGAGTACGATGAGCCGGGGGGGTACATACAGCCGCACGTCGATGGGACGCGAGTGTGCGAGCACACGGGGTTACAGACCACGCACTCGATGTTGGTGTGGTTGAGCGACGTGCCGGAGGACGAGGGGGGCGAGACGGATTTTTTACGAGACGTCACGGACGAAGACTCGGTCTTGTACTCGATACGGCCGAAGAAGGGGTCGGTTGTGATTTTCAGGCACGACAGTCCGCACGTCGGGCGGTGCGTGGGTGTGTATCCCAAGCTGTTGTTGAGAGGCGACGTGACGTGCGCGGAGGAATAGCCCTTCCCGAATAGGCGGTTAGCGATAGTGATAGCGTGTAGTACTGTACAATCAACCTACCGATACAACAAATTTAAAGACCCGGTCGACTCACGTCGTTGGCGTCGTCCTCAACGACGACGACGTCGTCGGCGTCGACGTCGGTAATGTCGTCGTAATAAAGGACGCACTCAGACGCGCTCAAAGCGAGCGGGGACTCTTCGTCTTTATAATACCGCCATCCGAGCGTCGTCGCTCGACCGAACATCAAAACAGCCATGCCTAGCCACACCGAGGTGAGAGTACTACCCTCGACGCTTCCCGCAGCGCCGAGGGCAAGTATGCCCGCTCCGGCGGATATCGCCATCGCCTTGGCGAGAAAATCAAAGTCGGCGCTTCCTTGGAACACGCCGTCGCCGATGAACACGGCCGAATTCAGGGGCTGTAAGAGAGCTAAAATCCGAATCGGCGTCACCGCCTCGGCCGCGATCACGGGATCGTTGGTAAATAAATACGGCAATCGCTCGGCGCTGGCGAAGACGACGACGCCGACGAGGACTCCGGCGCCTAGTCCCCAATTGAGCGCCCTGTCGGCGGCGACGCGAGCGCCCAAGACGTCCCGCTTTCCGAGACTGTTCGCCACCAACGCTTGTGCGCTGATGGCGATGGAATCCAGTCCGAAGAGCGTGATCCACCACGCCTGTAAGCACACCTGATGCGCCCCGGCGGCGCCTAAATCCGCCGCCGTGGACGTCGCGCGAACGAGCACGGCTTGCAATAAAATCGTCCGCAGCAGCTGCGACGTCGATCCCGACGCCAAAGCGGCGATGTCCTCGCTCTCCTTGTCCGGAAGTCTGAAGACAGATTGAAAGTCTAATATCCCTTCGTCCATCATGAGCTTGACGAACCACAGGGCGCCGATCCACTCGGACACCGTCGTCGCCGTCGCCGCGCCCGCGACGTCGAACCCCTCAAACGGGCCGAGACCGAATATGAGAAACGGGTCGAGGCCGAGGTGGAAGATCTCCGTCAAAATCGCGACGTTGAGCGCCGTGCGCGTGTCCAACAAACCTCTGAAAGCGCCGACGCCGACAAAAACAATCAAGCTCGCCGGGATGGACGCCGCGCGAATTCGCAAGTAATCCTCCCCGTACTCCAAGATGCCCTTCTTCGTCGGCGCATCCGCGTACGCCATCACGTCCCCGCTCGACATCATCAACGGCTCGTGATGCGCGCCACAAAACCGTAACAAATCATCCGTAAACACCTCCATCACCCCCATCGTGACGAACCCGCAGGTGAGCGCCAGGAGCATCGCGCTCCCCACCGTCCGCTTCGCCGCCCGCCGTCCCTCCTCCGACGCCCGCCCGCCGTTCGCCGATATCTTCGCCGCGACGAGCGGTCCCGTGACGACGGCTAAAAAGTTAAACAGCTTATAACAAAACGTAAAGCACGTCGTGCTCACCGCCAACCCCCCCAGGGCGTCCGCCGCGCCGTCGACGCGCAGTCGTCCCACGAACGCCGTGTCCACCGCCCCCATCACCGGATCTAACAACAGCTCCGCCACCCCCGGGAGCGCCAGGGCGAATATCGAGGCATCCAGCAACCCTAAGGTCTCCGCGCTCGGCGGCGCGCGCGCGCGCCACTCCGCGCACGCGTCCCACGCGCGGTCGTCCCCCGTCGCCCGTCGCGCG